GCCCCCCCAAAAATTTTTTTGAGGGGGCTCGAGCCCCCTCAAGCCCCATGGAGTCGGCGCCTATGGATGAGACCCATCTAGTCCAGCACCCTGTTTTCACAGTGGGAAGCCCCCAGGCAGCTTGACTCCTGTGGTTTCCAGCAACAGGTAATTGCTTCTCCCAAAGAATGCTGGGAACTGTAGTTTCCTAAGGGGTGCTGGGGATTGCAGATTGTAAGTGTTATGTATGTACTGAAGTTCTCACCCTGGGCCAGCAGGGGGATACTGTAGATAGTTTTCACTCAGGTCCACATATGGGATTGAGAGTGACATTCAGTGATTGGATAGTTACAGAGAGTGTTTATATTTTATTCTCGGTTTTCCCCCTTGCCAAATATATTTAGAAATACCTTTTAGCCATGTGTTGAAACAATCTGTCTAGCCAATCACCGGAATCAATTGAAACAGAATAACATTCTTGGCAATACAGTTATCTTTATAGTCGACACTACCTAGTAGTGAAAGATCCATTCTGCTCCAAATTTGCAAATTTAATATCTTCCCGAAAAGACCCTGATGTTGGGAAAGATGGAGGGCACAAGGAGAAGGGGACGACAGAGGACGAGATGGTTGGACAGTGTTCTTGAAGCTATGAACATGAGTTTGACCAAGCTGCGGGAGGCAGTGGAAGACAGGAGTGCCTGGCGTGCTCTGGTCCATGGGGTCACAAAGAGTCAGACATGACTAAACAACAACAATATCTTCCCAGGTTTTCAAATAATTATCTTTAAACAAATTTATATTGTTTGCTGTTGCCCATACACCTAAATACTTAACCCATGGCTGTGATGGCAGCCTACATTTAAAGCATGGGCTTCACCCAAAAAATTCTGGGTGCTAGGAATTATAGTTGCATGTGGGGTAAACTTCTGTTTTGGGGATTCTTTTGGGGTAGCTTTTGGGACTTTTTTGTTCAGAGGAAAAGTGAGGAAGAGAGGCCACATGGATAGAAGCTTATAAAACGATGCACAGTTCGGAGGAGGTGGAAAGAGAAGTTTTTCTCCTCCTCTCACAACATCATGGTCATCTAGCGAAGCTGAATGTGGGAAGAGTCAGGGCAGAGATAAAGAAATGCTTTTTCACACAGCTGTGGAACTGTTAAACTATGGAACTCACTGCCACAGGAGGCAGTGACGGCCACCAACTTGGATGGCTTTAAGAGAGGACCAGACAGATACATGGAGGAGAAAGCTATTGATGACTTAACCACCATTCTGGCAATGCTTTGCTTCCATGGTCAAAGGCAGTCAGTCATGCTTCTCAATGCTGGGAACTAGAGGAAGGAAGTGGTCTTGTGCCCTGGTCTTATTTGTGCGCTTAAGCAAGACAAAGGAGATAGTGTTGGACTTTCGGAGGAAGAGAGAACTAGCCCCGCTGTACATTGGGGAGGGCAGTATGGAGAGAGTCTCTTCCTTTAAATTCCTGGGAGTTTATCTCAGTGAAGACCTTACTTGGAAAATCAATATAACCCAGCTGGTTAAGAAGGCCCAACGGAGACTCCATCTCCTCAGTGCATTGCGAAAGAACAATGTCAATCAACATTTGATTGTCCTTTCATACTGCAACATGGTGTGGTACGCTGGTTTGACATCAACTGATAGGAGGTGCCTACAGAGGGTGGTGAATACAGCACAAGATAAACTGCTTCTGGTGCAACAGGACACCGTGATGGAAACCAGAGTGCACGGAACCGCCGTTTACCTTCCCGCCGGAGCGGTACCTATTTATCTACTTGCGCTGGCGTGCTTTTGAACTGTTGGGTTGGCAGGAGCAGGGACAGAGCAACAGGAGCTCACCTGCCACAGGGATTCGAACCGCCAACCTTCTGATCGGCAAGCCAAGAGGCTCAGTGGTTTAGACCACAGCGCCACCCGCATCCCTACTTGATACAATACATAAACAATAGCTGCCCAGGGTGGCTGGGGAAACCCAGCCAGATGGTTGGGGTCTAGATAAAGTATTAATTATTACATGAAGCAAAATGCAAGCCCCCCGCAATATTTGAAATGTGCACTTTTCCCAATTTTGCAATGCAAGTCTCCAGCCAAGCAATGCATACAGAATTAAATTATATCTAGGTAAACTGTGCATAAAAATGCATGTGTTTTGGTCAAAGTAGCACATGAGAATGCATTATTCTAGGGAGAACTGCTTTGCAAAAACAACTTGCATCTATTAGGGAAAATTCACATCAATTGATTTTCACAAGAATGATAGGACTAAACCGCTTGTGGTGCACCGGACACCATGACGGCAGCCAGAGCGCACGGAAACGCCATTTATCTTCCTGCTGGAGCAGTACCTATTTATCTACTTGCACTGGTGTGCTTTCGAACTGCTAGGTTGGCAGGAGCTGGGAGAGAGCAATGGGAGCTCACCCCGTCGTGGGGATTCAAACCGCCAACCTTCCGCTTGGCAAGCCCAAGGGGCTCAGTGGTTTAGACCACAGCGCCAGCCATGTCCCCACACAGCCTTGGAAAAGAACTCGGCATCGAACAAAACGAGACTTGTATCTCTCTCACACATGCACCAACCTCCCGCTTAAGGCCTGCTTGCTGCTTTTCTCCATTTAGCAGGAAGCCGTCCCGGCCTGCAGCAAACACAAAGGGAGATGGTGGGTGTATGTGTGTACTTTTTGCAGGGCCTGCTTCCCAGCTGGAAATCCTCACCCGCAACTCCCTTCTCTTTGTGACATCCATCACCTCTTCATTAAATGCTGGGATAGGCAGGCGACCTCTCCGCCTCCTCTTCCTCACACCCCTGGGTTCCTTTTTCCGCTGATTAGGCTGATGATGAAGGAGCCTGCTGGGAACAGCTGAGCCTTCGCCACCCCCAAAAAGTGAAGCTTCCTTCTACGTCTTCAGGGACATGCTTCTCGTCTCATTAGCTGCCGCCTGTAATCGATCGGGTTGGGATTAACTTGTGTCATCAGCCGTTTGCTCCTGGACTCTAGGGTTCAAGTGGGGGGAGATACTGAGCAGAAGGAGAAAGGAAAAGTACCAGATAAATTCATGCTTGCTCTATACCGGACCAGAAAGGTGGACAAGCACCTACAAATCCCAAAAGGACCTTAAAAGAGGGGCCAGAGGGAGATTGCACCTGGAAGACAAAGGATTGTGCAAAATTTGGGTTAATACTCAATAATGCAATGTAACAGACATCACGTATTTTGAGAGTGCTGAGACTTTCGGCTTCCGTTCAGGTTGAAAGAAAAAGTTTATAGCCAAGCTAAGGCGGCTGGTGCTGTGGTCTAAACCACTGAGCCTTTTGAGCTTGCCGATCAGGTCGGTGGTTCGAATCCCCACCACGGGGTGAGCTCCCGTTGTTCGGTCCCTGCTCCTGCCAACCTAGGGGTTCGAAAGCACACCCAAAAGTGCAAGTAGATAAATAGGTACCGCTCCAGCGGGAAGGTAAACGGCATTTCCGTGTGCTGCTCTGGTTTCGCCAGAAGCTGCTTAGTCATGCTGGCCACATGACCTGGAAAAACTGCGGACAAAGATCGGCTCCCTTGGCCAGTAAAGCAAGATGAGCATCGCAACCCCAGAGTTGTCTGCAACTGGACTTAACTGTCAGGCATTCTTTACCTTTTTTTTTACAAAAAAAAGGTAAAAAATGGATTAGAAAAATGTAATTAGATGGGGGGGGGCAGAGTCCAAGGGATCTAAGCGATCACAGAAGTGTAGAAATTGAAAGTGATGTGAATGTATAAGAATGTTTAAAAACAAAATAAAACATTTTTTTAAAAAAAGTTTATAGCCCTTCTTATTTTATTTATATTTCATGAAGTTTATATACCCTAAGCCTCAAAATGGATTATTACAGACTAGCACAAAGTGCTTGGAATTTTTAAAAAAACCAACAAAAAGAGATGTGTTTATAAACGGATAGCATCATTTGTGAGTTTGGACCAGCCACCCCAAAAATCAGGCAAAGTCGTGCTGAAGTCACGTTTCCATCTGGCATGTTGGTTCAAAAAGGCACCCAAACATTGACGTCAATCCTCAGGAACTCTTGTATTATCTCAAGATGCCGCTGAACCTGTGCCCCCAAACAGGCCTAAGCCATGCAAAAGTGATTCTTCTGTCCACCATCTTGTTGCAAAATGGTGCCCAGCTTTCCAACAGCTTAAAAAAGTGTGCCCCCTCTCCCTCCAGGTGCCCCTAATGTAGAGTTTGGCAACAATATCACAAGAAACTATGCCCCCAAATGGGTAGAGTCATGCCGGTGTCATGCTTTGTTCCGCCATCTTGATTCAAAATGGCACCCAGCGCCCATGTGTTTCTGCCCCACAAGTCCCAATGGACACCAGCCATGGGTGATTTTTTGGGGGGGACCACGTTACCATAACTCCCTGCATTCACCATGCTGTGCCCCCAGCCACACTGCTACAACGTGAGTCCCTAGTAAGTCCCAAGCTCTTCCTCTCGTTCTTTTTTAAAAGGCAAGTCAACGTAGGCATCAACTACATTTTATTTCACTTCAATTTCACTTCTCTCCTTCCCTTTACAAGCATTTTAAATACTTCCCCCTCCCCTGCAAGAGAAAACGAGAAGACGCAGGAAGAAGACCACGATCCTGCGACTATATAATAAAATAAAAACAAAATAAATAGCCGGCCACACACTGCGGCTCCCCAGAGGAGGGCAGGTGCGTCGCAGGCGGCTGTGCTCATCCTGATTTTCTGCAACTCCCGTTCTGAACTAGAGGCTTGTGAAGCCATCAGTCCCATTGATCAGAGGGTGCGCACTGAAGCAGCAGCTGAAAGCTTTCTTTTTTAGAGTGCAACCCAGAAACATGGGGGGTGGGCCAGACAGAGATTTGGGGTTGGGGTGGGGATAAGGATTTCTAGCTGCCATTAGTATAAGGGGAAAAGGGATTGTAATAACCCAAGAAGGGCTCGAAAACATCCTCAGAGTCTTTTGGATCAGAAGGGAGATGTGCCTGTCTTAACCGGCCTCTCGCTCTGAAGGCAATGGGGGGAAATTCAGCCAACGGCGCCCCCTAGAGGAGTGTCTGGGCCACTGTAGTTCCAACCTCGCATCCCTAAGGTTTTTGACTATGCTGCCAGCCAAATCTGGGAGGCTGCGTGCCTTTTCTCAACTTTCAAGGTTCTGCCGGACAGTTCAAGAGTGTGTTCATGTCTTCCAAGACCTGCCAGAGGCAGCTGTCCAGGGGGAAGTCGTTGTCCACCAAGTTGACCAGGTAATAGTTGTCGTGCATGTACTGGAGGATCATGCGAGAGGGGGACTCCTCTTCATACAGCTTGGCCCACTGCTCAATCCACAGGGCAAAGGCCTCATCCTGTCCGAGGGGGGCAGAGAGAGAGAAGCAGGTCACACTTAAAAACAATTTGAGGTGGGGGTGGGAGTGCAGGAGGAACTATGGGAAACGAATTATTATTATTATTATTTATTGAATTTATATACCGCCCTATACCCGGGGGTCTCAGGGTGGTCCACAGAATAAAATCAAGATATAAAATCACAAAATACATAATAAAAAAACAAAAACATTTTAAAAGGGCCTAGGATGCAAATCGGATCAACCAAGGGCCTGCACTAAAAAGGAACGTTTCTGCTTGGCACCTAAAGGTGGATAATTATAGCAAAGTGGGTAAAAATAGAAATAAACCAAAAAAGTTGGGGGAAGTCTTTGAGAATTTGAGATGTATGTAATGAACGAAAATGAAAAATGAATAATATTTTTTTTAAAAAAAAAATGAAGGCACCAGGCGAACTTGCCTGGGGAGAGCATTCCATGGATGGGGAGCCACTGCAGTAAAGGCCCCGTTCTCGTGTTGCGACCCTCCAGACCTCTCAAGGAGGAGGCACACGAAGGAGGGTCTCGGAGGATGATCTCAGGGAATGAGCGTCTGGAAGAGGCTGCATTATGCAGACTCAGACTTATCGGCGCAACTCGCTCAGTGTTGCCTGCTATGGCCAGCAGTGGCTCTCCAGGGTTTCAGGCTGGGTTCTCCCCCAGTTCTACCCGGAGATGCCAGAGACTGAACTCGGGGCATTCTGCGTGCAAAGCAGATACCCTTGCGCTGAGCTACAGGCAGAAGAAGCTGCCTTAGACAGAGCCAGACTATTTGGTCTGTCACGCTCAGCACTGCCTCTACTAACTGGCAGCAGCTCTCCAGTGTTGCATAAACAGGGACATTTGCCAGCTCTACCTGGAGGTGCTGAGAAATGAACCTGAGCCCCTCCTGCATCCAAAGCATATGCTCTACCCCTGAGCTATGGCCCTTAGCATTCAGAAAAGGCCCCTGCTTAGCCAATGTGACTAGATGTGACCATATGAACCTACCCTGACCCTGAGATCATCTTCTGAGGCTCTCCTTTGTGCGCCTCCTCCTTGAGAGGTCCAGAGGGTGGCAACACGAGAACAGGGCCTTCTCTGCAGTGGCTCCCCGTCTGTGGAATGCTCTCCCCAGGGAAGTTCGCCTGGCGCCTTCATTACACACCTTCCAGTGCCAGGCAAAAATGTTCCTTTTTAACCAGGCCTTTGGCTGATCTGTTTAATATCCTATACTAAGGTTACCAGATTTTTTTCAGTGAATCTGGGGACACTTTTCAATTTCAATAGGAATGATACGATTTTGTCAGGGGACTGATTTGTAAATCTGGGGACTGTCCACAGGAAAACGGGGACGTCTGGTAACCTTATCCTATACCCTTTTAAAATGTGGCTCTTTTCTGAGTAGGGTATTATTGGGTTGTTGTTTTTATTCTGATTATATTTGTCTGTGAACCACCCTGAGACCTCCGGGTATAGGGCGGTATATAAACTCAATCAATCAATCAATCATCATTATCAGGGGTCAGCAAACTTTTTCAGCAGGGGGCCGGTCTACTGTCCCTGAAACTTTTGGGGGGGCTGGACTATATTTTTTTTGGGGGGGGGAATGAACGAATTCCTATGCCCCACAAATAACCTAGATGCATTTTAAAGAAAAGGACACATTCTACTCATGTAAAAACACACTGATTCCTGGACCATCCATGGGCCGGATTTAGAAGGCAATTGGGCCAGATCCGGCCCCCGGGCCTTAGTTTGCCTATCCACCACCACCATCATCATCGATGGGCCACTGCTCTGATCCAGCGGGTTCTTATGTTCTTATGACTTGATACAGACCTATGAGTTCACTGAACCTGTGCAGGCAAAAGTGGAGGTTCTACCCCCAACTTGTTATTAGAGGAGCAGAGGTACCCCGGTACCACAAGTTCTAGGGAATAGTAATTGGCACCTTGTACTTCTGTCCACATACATTTTCCACGGAAATGTACCAAAGCCCCAGATCTGTACCAACAGGCTAAGAGTTTCCTGGGTGTTTGGGGCAGGGCAGGGAACAATAACCCTCTTACCTTCCAGTACATGAAGCTAACCGGGTCTACAACCGTCGGCTGAATGATCTCTCTGCCGGGGAAGATGCCCCACGTTACGGCATTGGGTTGCATTTCATGCGCGTTGGTGATGTTCTCACCCTACTGACGGGAAACAGGAGGTTGTTTAGAAGGAAGAGAGGGAAACAGCTGCATCACGGTTTTGTATACACCTGTTAACTTGCTGCCAGGCCTGTACAGATCTCAAGACACGGGTGGCGCTGTGGTCTAAACCATTGAGCCTCTTGGGCTTGCCGATCAGAAGGTCAGCGGTTTGAATCCCCGCCACGGGGTGAGCTCCCGTTGCTCGGGCCCAGCTCCTGCCAACCTAGCAGTTCGAAAGCACCCCAGTGCAAGTAGATAAATAGGTACTGCTGCGGCGGGAAGGTAAACGGCGTTTCTGTGCGCTGCTCTGGTTCGCCAGAAGCAGCTTAGTCCTGCTGGCCACATGACCCAGAAGCTGTACGCCGGCTCCCTTGGCCAATAAAGCGAGATGAGTGCCACAACCCCAGAGTCGGTCACGACTGGACCTAATGGTCAGGGGTCCCTTTACCTTTAAGGCAGCTTCCAACAAAGAGAGAAATTGTAAAAGGACTAAGTGTGGGGTGATTCATATTTCTGCTAAGAACACTGCTCTCCCCATGCGGTCCCCACCCTCCCAAAAGGGTACAGTAGAGTTGGGAAGAGTTTCAGGAAACACCAGCCAAAGTCGGAACGTCTCCCACATGCGGAGAGGTTTCAACATTTGGGGATTTTTTTGGTTTAGAGGGAAATGTGAGAAAGAGGCAACGAGGCAGAACTTTATAAAATTATGCGCGGTCCATCTTATGGGCTGCTTGTCACATTTATTTTATTTTTAGGAGGGAAAACTAATGCGTGGCATGGAAAAGGAAACGCAAGCCGTGGGGAACACTGATAACGTGCTTCTAGCGCTCCCATAATTCCAGACATCCAATGAAGCCGAACGTTGGACCAAAGAAAAGTATTTCACAGTTAAACTGTGGAACTCACTGCCACAAGAAGCACCAACAGCCACTGATTTTAAAAAAGACAAATTCATGGAGGAGAGGGTTATCGAGTGATGATGAGATGATAATTTTTTTTATTTGTACCCCACCCATCTGTCTGAAGGCAGTATTTACCGTATTTTCGCTCCATAAGACGCACCTAGTTTTTAGAGGAGGAAAACGGGGGGGGGGGATTCTGAACGAAACAGTGGATGTATGATTTTGGTGGTTCATGCTGTGGCCACAGACATGTGATTTGACAGTGAGTTTGGAGTAGCCCAATGCAAAAATCCTGAGGATCCATGTGGATCCGTGCTTTGTAACCATGTTTTTGCGCCATTGCGGCCCCACGCAACAGTGGGTGCGTGATATTTTTGGTGCAGGCTGTAGCCATGGACATGTTATGTGATCTGATGGTGAATCTGGGGTGACCCAATGTAAAAATGCTGAGGATCCATGGGCTTTTACTTCCCCCTCAATAAATATATTATACAACAACAACAACAACAAAAGTCCTAAACGGCCTCAGCCCAGTATACCTGAAGGAGCGTCTCCACCCCCATCGTTCTGCCCGGACACTGAGGTCCAACGCCAAGGGCCTTCTGGCAGTTCCCTGCCTGCGAGAAGCTAAGTTACAGGGAACCAGGCAGAGGGCCTTCTCGGTAGTGGCACCCAACCTGTGGAATGCCCTCCCACCAGATGTCAAAGAGAACAACAACTACCAGACTTTTAGAAGACATCTGAAGGCAGCCCTGTTTAGGGAAGCTTTTATAATAGACTATTGTATTTTAATATTCTGTTGGAAGCCACACAGAGTGGCGGGAGAAACCCAGCCAGATGGGCGGGGTATGTATAAATAAATAAATAAATAAATAAATAAATAAATAAATAAATAAATAAAATCAACCTGCTTCATTGGAGGTTTTTAGAAGGCCATCTGTCATGGATGCTTCAGCTGAGATTCCTGCATTGCGGGTGTTTGGGCCAGATGACCCTCAAAATCCTTTCCAAAGCTACAATTCTATGATCCCATGAGCTAGGGGTGCAACAAGTTAAGCTGCAGAAAGAACCTCTCATTTGCAAATCATGTTCTTTCACCCAGACTGGGGGGTGGGGTTAGACCAGATGTGAAACAGGATGGTGTTTGCGTCAGAACGCCCTGCTTAAAATGAAGGAGGGAGGGAAAACACTTTCGTTTTAGCGGCACCTTCCATCTGATGTTATTGCGACATCAGGTGATTGACAGGGAGTGTCCCCGCCCACCTGCTAAATTTCATCTTCAAGGCCAATCAGCTTCGTGGAGCCAAAAAGCTATCTATGTAGGAATGGCTAAGTCAATGCAAACAGGAACTGAGCAGGAAGAAGAAACAAGTCTGTTATGGATTGTGGATTTTTGAGGGGTTTCTCTACTGAGACCTTTTATGGGCGTCACAGAAGGGGCCGAGCACCCCATGTTGGTGATTCCCTGCATCAGGGCATTATACCTACTTGAAACGACAATTCACGGCGGGGGGTGAGCCCTTACCCAGCACGCTGGAGACCCCCTCATTTCCCCGCTTGAACTCCCCACCAAGCTGCCTCTGGGTTGTTTCCGGCGATGCCTCCACATTTCCAGCGAAGGTCACAGCAGCCTCTCGGAAGGCCCCTGGCACCTGAAATACCCGTCAACGTTTTTGTCAAGAAACAAAGCGGTCCAGACTAAGGTTACCAGATTTTTTTCAATGAATCTGGGGACCCTATACATATATACATACATACATACTTACTACACGTTTGGGATGTTGCTACTGCAGCGATGGCGGTGGGCTGGCAGAGGGGCGTCCACCGCCTTGACCTCAACCGCCATGTTTCCCCTTCTCCTTTCTCCATTAGCCTGGGCAGGCCCTAAGTTGTACGTTCTTCGGTGGTGGTGGTGGGGAAGCAGTGCGCAGTGGGTCTGGCATACAAGGCGGAGGAGGGCCAAGAGCAGCAGCAGCGGCGAGGCTCAGGCAGCACGATGCCTCCCATCCCATCGGAGCAGCCCCAATCCCATTCCTACTTGCGTGCTAGCAGGAGGGAGCAGGGATCCCTCAGCTGGAAAGGGAGGCTTCCCGTTGCCTAACTGAGAGATCCTAGAATCATAGAGTTGGAAGAGACCACAAGGGCCATCGAGTCCAACCCCCTGCCAAGCAGGAAACACCATCAGAGCACTCCTGACATATGGTTGTCAAGCCTCTGCTTAAAGACCTCCAAAGAAGGAGACTCCACCACACTCCTTGGCAGCAAATTCCACTGTCGAACAGCTCTTACTGTCAGGAAGTTCTTCCTAATGTTTAGGTGGAATCTTCTTTCTTGTAGTTTGGATCCATTGCTCCGTGTCCGCTTCTCTGGAGCAGCAGAAAACAGCCTTTCTCCCTCCTCTATGTGACATCCTTTTATATATTTGAACATGGCTATCATATCACCCCTTAACCTCCTCTTCTCCAGGCTAAACATGCCCAGCTCCCTTAGCCGTTCCTCATAAGGCATCATTTCCAGGCCTTTGACCATTTTGGTTGCCCTCCTCTGGACACGTTCCAGTTTGTCAGTGTCCTTCTTGAACTGTGGTGCCCAGAACTGGACACAGTACTCCAGGTGAGGTCTGACCAGAGCAGAATACAGTGGCACTATTACTTCCCTTGATCTAGATGCTATACTCCTATTGATGCAGCCCAGAATTGCATTGGCTTTTTTAGCTGCCGCGTCACACTGTTGGCTCATGTCAAGTTGTGGTCAACCAAGACTCCTAGATCCTTTTCACATGTACTGCTCTCAAGCCAGGTGTCCCCCATCTTGTATTTGTGCCTCTCATTTTTTTTGCCCAAGTGCAATACTTTACATTTCTCCCTGTTAAAATTCATCTTGTTTGTTTTGGCCCAGTTCTCTAATCTGTCAAGGTCGTTTTGAAGTGTGATCCTGTCCTCTGGGGTGTTTGCCACCCCTCCCAGTTTGGTGTCATCTGCAAATTTGATCAGGATGCCCTTGAGTCCATCATCCAAGTCGTTGATAAAGATGTTGAATAAGACCGGGCCCAAGACAGAACCCTGTGGCACCCCACTAGTCACTCTTCTCCAGGATGAAGAGGAACCATTGATGAGCACCCTTTGGGTTCGGTCAGTCAGCCAGTTACAAATCCACTGAGTGGTAGCATAGTCAAGACCGCATTTTACCAGCTTCTTTACAAGAATATCATGGGGCACCTTGTCAAATGCCTTGCTGAAATCAAGGTAGGCTACATCCACTGCGTTCCCTTCATCTACCAGGCTTGTAATTCTGTCAAAAAACGAGATCAGGTTAGTCTGACATGACTTATTTTTCAGAAATCCATGCTGACTATTGGTGATCACAGCATTCCTTTCTAGGTGCTCACAGACTGTTTGCTTAATGATCTGCTCCAGAATCTTCCCTGGTATTGATGTCAGACTGACTGGGCGATAATTATTTGGGTCCTCTCTTTTCCCCTTTTTGAAAATAGGGACAACATTTGCCCTCCTCCAGTCTGCCGGGACTTCGCCTGTTCTCCAGGAATTCTCAAAGATGACTGCCAGTGGTTCTGAAATCACATCTGCCAGTTCTTTTAATACTCTTGGATGCAGTTCATCTGGCCCTGGAGACTTGAATACATCTAACTAGCCAAGTATTCTTGTACTATCTCCTTAGTTATTCTGGGCTGTGTTTCCTCTGCTGAATCATTTGCTCCAAATTCTTCAGGTCGGGCATTGTTTTCTTTATCGGAGAAGACTGAGGCAAAGAAGGCATTGAGGAGTTCAGCCCTTTCTGTGTCCCCTCTTTGCATTTCACCATCTTCTCCTCTGAGTGACCCCACTGTTTATTTGTTCTTCCTTTTGCTACGGACATACCCATAAAAGCCTTTTTTTGTTGCTTTTAACCTCTCTAGCAAGCCTGAGTTCATTCTGTGCTTTAGCTTTTCTGACTTTGTGTCTACATGTGCTGGCTATTTGTTTGAATTCCTCTTTGGTGGTTTCCCCCCTTTTCCATTTTTTGTACACATCCTTTTTTAATCTTAACTCAGTTAAAAGTTCTTTAGATAGCCACCCTGGCTTCTTTAGGCACCTTCCATGTTTCCGTCTCATTGGTATTGCCTGAAGTTGTGCTTTTACTATCTCCCTCTTAACAAACTCCCAGCCATCATGAACTCCCTTTCCTTTTAGTATTACTGTCCATGGGATCTCACCCAGCACTTCCCTAAGTTTTATGAAGTCGGCTTTCTTAAAGTCAAGAAATTGAGTCCTAGCTTGGCTGCTGCTTTCCGCTGTATAGTAAACTTCAGAAGAGCATGATCACTCGCGCCTAATGATCCTTCCACTTCTACCCCACTAACCAGGTCATCATCATTGGTTAGGACCAGATCTAAAATGGCTGTTCCTCTTGTTGCTTCTCCCACTTTCTGGACAATGAAGTTGTCTGCAAGGCCAGTGAGGAATCTGTTTGACCTTATGCTCTTGGCTGAGTTTGACATCCAACAAATATCCGGGTAATTGAAGTCCCCCATTACTACTATCTCCCTTCCTTTTGCATGCTTGGCCATCTGTTCCAGGAAGGCATCATCTATGTCCTCCGTTTGGCTTGGGGATCTATAGTAAACTCCCACAATGAGGTCTCTGTTATTCTTCTCTCCCTTAATTTTGACCCAAATGCTCTCACTTTGGCTTTGAGGTTCTAAATCTTGGATCTCTTCACAGGTATACACATCCCTGACATATAACGCCACTCCTCCTCCTTTCTTGTCTGGTCTGTTTCTCTGAAATAGATTGTATCCCTCCATTATTACATTCCAATCGTGGGACTTATCCCACCAGGTTTCAGTGATGCCTATTATGTCATATTTAGTTTGCTGTACCAAGGGACGCGGGTGGCGCTGTGGGTAAAACCTCAGTGCCTAGGACTTGCCGATCGCATGGTTGGTGGTTTGAATCCCCGCGGCGGGGTGCACTCCCATCGTTTGGTCCCAGCGCCTGCCAACCTAGCAGTTCGAAAGCACCCCTGGGTGCAAGTAGATAAATAGGGACCGCTTACCAGCGGGAAGGTAAACGGTGTTCCGTGTGCTGCGCTGGCTCGCCAGATGCAGCTTGTCACGCTGGCCACGTGACCCAGAAGTGTCTGCGGACAGCGCTGGCTCCCGGCCTATAGAGTGAAATGAGTGCACAACCCTAGAGTCTGGCAAGACTGGCCCGTACGGGCAGGGGTACCTTTACCTTTACTACCAAGAGCTCAAGCTCTTGTTTATTTCCCATGCTTTGCGCATTAGTGTACAGACATTGAAGTCCATTAATCATTCCCCCGTGTCTCTTATTTAAGGATTTTTTCCTCCCACCACTAGGTCTGCGTGCTGTTTGCTCCATTTGGTCTATGACATTTGGATGATCATCTTCATCAATTGATAGACTCCTACCTTCAGGAGCACTGTCTCCCTCCCCCACATTAGTCAGTTTAAAGCCCTCCTGATGAGGTTTCTGAGATTTTTGGCAAAAACATTCCTCCCAACCGTTGTGAGGTGCAGCCCATCGCTTGCCAGAAGTCCATCTTCAAGAAACTGCAGTCCGTGATCTAAGAATACAAACCGTTCAATGGAATGCAAAACTCTAATAGCGCTTCATATGGAATGCAAAACTCCAATAGCGCTTCTGATGAGGCATTGAAAGCCCTTCCCCCCAAACCCTAGCTAGGGCTTTCTAGCATCAAGAAGTATTTGGGTAAAGTGCTTCACCCATTGCAGCATGGCTGAAGCAAAACCTGCATTGCCTGAGAGAGAAATGTTTTGGGAGAACATTCAGTAGTTTCTCATAGCTTTTGACAGAGACTTGGTCAGGTTGATCGTAGTAGTTCTGTGACCCAAATCCTTCAAGGCCAGTGAAGCAGCACCACCAGAATCAGTTCTGCTTTCTTGTAACTGAATTTGACACAGTATTCTAGATGGGAGTGTTGACAGTGGAAGTGTGTATAAGGTACTCTAAGCCCAGTTCAGTCAGAGTGCATCTCTAACACTTGTCACATCTCTACAATCTTGTGAGAATCTGCTAAGCTTTTAAATTTAGAGGAAAATTTTGGAATTATAGCTTGGCAATGAATGCCAAAGTCTGAAGAGCCAGTGCTCCAGATCTTAACTTTAGTCCATCCTTGAGTTGTGAACCCCTTCAGATGCTTCAGTCAGAAGGATACTTTGGCTATGGAAAAATGAGGACCTAACACTTCTGCCTTGTTAAATGCAGGAAAGAACATACAGTGGTGCCTCGCAAGACAAAATTAATTCGTTCCGCGAGTTTTGTCGTCTTGCGATTTTTTTCGTCTTGTGGAGCACGGTGTCGGGAAAGTTTTGGAAAAGCTTCAAAAATCACCAAAGTCTTAAAAACCTCAAAAAAGGCTACCACACCGCGTTCTATGAGTTGCTCCTCGAAGTCAAGTCACAACTGTATTAACGGTGTTAAGAAAAAGGAAACAAACTTGCAAGACGTTTCCGTCTTGCGAAGCAAGCCCATAGGGAAAATCGTCTTGTGAAGCAGCTCAAAAAACAAAAAACCCTTTCGTCTAGCGAGTTTTTTGTCTTGCGAGGCATTCGTCTTGCGAGGTACCTCTGTAATTTTGTCCTTGGAAAGGCCATCAGTGTGACCCCTCCAAACACTGGGATCCTACCAGCTTTGTTGTTCAAGGCAATGCATTTCACAGGATACGGTAGTTCTATCGGACTGGTGCTCCCCAGAGGCTGCTGTACAACATCCCTCCTCAACCTCTGGCAAACCTGTGGAGTTGTAAGTCCAGCAACTGCTAGCAAGCACCAAACTGGTTACCCCTAAGTTACATGGTCCTTAGGCTTTTAAGCCAGTATGTTTGTAGCTGCATGCCCAACCACATAACTTGCCTTAGCTGCTTGAACTTTATTGCCTAAGCTAGACCTGGCATTGCCTCTGCTTGCACTGGGTACTGTACAACTTGCAAGGTAAGGGGTCCTTTGAAGTCAGCATCACTGGAACAAAGGTGGTTACCCGTACCTGGGTAACCATTAAGTTCAAAGCTAATTGCAGAGACCAACTTACGGTACAAGTGGAAGAAGTAAGCGTCCCTGAATTGCTATCCTGATCTGTAATAGTGCATACTGACCCATATCCTGCATGTATGCTATTTCTAAAACTGGTGCTTCTAAGTTTGCTTCCAAGTTAGAGGTTTAATAAATACCAAGTGGGAAATGGTTAGAGTGGGCAATTTACGCTTTAGGGAGGTCTAGAGAGAATTTACACTCAAACATAGTTCACAAATGGTATATTTTATATATACAGATGATTAAGAGTAAAAAATGAATACAATCAGTCAGTGGGCAATAGGCATAGATTTCTCAACAAGGATAGCAGCCTCCATTCATAGCAGGCTACCAACTTTTAAAATGTTAGCTTTTAAGCGATTTAATAGTGGCCCTTTTCACATCTGGGTTTGTTCTAGGCCTTTCCCTCTTTCTTCCTCTTGAAGTTTCAACCAACTCCAGTCCAGAGCCTAAAAACAAAACAAGTGCTTATTAAGACACCTCATTCATAAAAACTGTGTGACTTCCTGTCCAATTCCCTCCAAAGTATTTTTTTTCAGCTCAGGTTAAATCCTCTCTTGTGTGACTATAAGCTAGTCTAAATAACAGTGCTTTCTCGCTGGCTAGAAACAAGTTATTGGTGCTATCATATGGGGAAGGCCACCTACCTTTCAACCATCTAACATCAGGTCTCTGAGAGAGGGGCAATGCCACCCACTGTCAAACTGACCTGCAGGGACTGTACTGGCAAAGCATCAGTCTCTCTGCTCCCCTCGCCCCAGTGACTTTACAACAGAAAACGTAAGATGTTACCATAAAGCTGTGCTCTTGATCCTTCATTGTGTGGTGCATCACATTCTCTAGCTGATTGCAGAGACTTCGAGATTCCATCAGTAAATCCTCACTAAAACAAATCGGAGAAGATTTTTAAGAATATCACAACAAAAGGAACTGGCATAAAGGAGGTCCATTTTTTCATCACAGCATACTTTTGCCAGGATTAGCAGAGCTGCTTCATGCCTTCACTAGGCTAGTGGGAACCTATTTTTGTTGTTTTGTTTTTAAAAAGTGAATCATAAACTGCTTTAACTGCCCTCAGTTTGACAGTTTGCTGTGTGACTAAAGGGGTGTTCTTCAAAGGAAGTGTAAAGCTTGCTCCCTTTGGCTGAATTTGTGAGAATTTGTGAGAATAATAAAAAGGGTAACTAGTGATACAGTGCATGTTTTAAAAATAATTCATTCCTTGCTTGGAAAAAAGCATGTACATTGCAATGCTGAACAGAGGAATGAATCTGTTTGTCTTTGAGAGTGTTATTGGAAGCCAGTAAAGTATTTCCTTGTGAAGTCAGCCAGCTCCAACCAAGCATGCTACCAGTCACACACCTTTCTTCTGTCCTGAGTATCCATCACTGGTGTCAAGGTAACCTGTGACGAGTATTGCCTACGAGTTACAGCACATATGTAACATACAAAAATGCAACACAGGAACTTTAGACACATTTGTAAGATGACATAGTCTATGCATGCACAAGGAAAACAGCAAAGGAAAGTATTACTCAGTTCAACTAACTGCAGACAAAAGGGTAATGCAGAACAGGTACCTTCAATCATTTCAGACCCAGTACCCACTTTTAATCCAAACATGCAGTTGGGGATCCAATTCTTACTCTTCTACCATATATTTGCATGGGGCTGTTGCCCTTGTTATGACCCACTGCGGATAATAATAATAATTTATTTTTATACCCTGCCCATCTGGCTGGGTTTCCCCAGCCACTCTGGACGGCTTCCAACAGAATATTAAAATACAATAGTCTATTAAACATTAAAAGCTTCCCTAAACAGATGTCTTCTAAAAGTCTGGTAGTTGTTTTTCTCTTTGATATCTGGTGGGAGGGCGTTCCACAGGGCAGGAGCCACCACTGAGAAGACCCTCTGCCTGGTTCCCTGTAGCTTTGCTTCTTGCAGTGAGGGAACCGCCAGAAGGCCCTCGGCACTGGACCTCAGCGTTCGGGCTGAACAATGGGGGTGGAGACGTTCCTTCAGGTATACAGGGCCGAGGCTGTTTAGGGCTTTAAAGGTCAGCACCAACACTTTGAATTGTCCTCGGAAACATACTGGGAGCCAATGTAGGTCTTTCAAGACTGGTGTTACGTGGTCTCGGTGGCTGCCCCCAGTCACCAGTCTAGCTGCTGCATTCTGGATCAGGCCGTGACACACTAGTGGTCCCAAACCACCTGCTTAAGACCAGTGCAGAGGTAACCAATAACTATGGGACAAACCATTGCCTTAAATATTACCTTTTAATCCCAGGATCCTGTAAATTACTGTGCAGGGCTGGAACCTGCAATGAGAGTTGACCAGGATTACTAAGGCGTGATGTGCTTATGCTGTCTGGGCTCCCACTGACAGGCCCACGCACCTTGCTCTGCAGGAGAGGAAGAACACAGATCAAGCTTTCTACATGCAATATGAAGAAATACACTATTTTCATTTAAAGGCATTGCTGCCAGTGATTGCCAAACAGCTGTCAGGATCCCTGAAGAATATCAGTAATACAAAGTTCACAATGCAGGGGGCAGCAACAGGAAAGCATGCTCTAGGGTTATACACTCAGTTAATGTGAGGCCCAACAAGTCTGGCCTAGAGCCCTCGGAATTTGTGAAGCCCACTGCTTTCTTAGCAGACAAGATGATGGGGAAAGGGTTCTCAGAAGATTTTGAGAGTTGGGAGGGAGCCATGGGCACAGTTCATGCTACTTGATCTTTGCCAGATGGAGAAGAATCTGATGTTCCTAACCAGAAAAATATCTTCCACTTTACTCACACAGGCAATTTTCAACAGGTTCCACAGCTCTTTCTGCCGTTTATCCTGAAGCTCAACAACCATTTTCTCATCCTCATTCATCAGGCTCATCACCTCATCCACTTTAGGAAATAACTCCAGTGCCTTTTGCTTGCAGACAACTGTTTTACTGTAAAGAAGAGATAGCCTTCTAATCACGTGTCATCAGCTCTACTAGCACAAGGAGAGGGGGAGAGACAGAGAACTCTGAGAGGTGTGGGACAATGGCAGAGTTCCACTCAACAGCATTCCCCCACATCAACTTTATTCCCGGTAACCAGGACAACCTCACTACAGTGGGTCTTTGGGAGTCCTACCTGAGCTGAGCATAAAGGAGGCCGACTTTCTTTTCAAAGGTCTGGATTGCTTGCAGAAGTAGCCTCACGACTTCTTGGCTGTCTCCGCTAGTCCTTTGGTCTAGACAAAAAGTACGCAGAATCAAGTGGCATGTTAGGCAGAGGGTGGGGGCAGGGGCGAGAAAGCTCCTAAAAGACATAAGAAAGGAAACAGCCCCCATTGCTGTGACTGTTGGGCAACAGGCAAAGGAATTAAAACCCTTGAACAGCTTCCGCAAGATTGGATCTATTCTAGTATAAATTAATACCCCTCTCTGGATTTGGCATCACTGCCACTAATGCAGATTAAAATCACCGCTCTATATCTGGCGGCATTCTTCAACATTGCTCAGTAAAACTTGGAGCCAACTGGTAACAGCTAGTTCAGCAGAGTGAAATGTGAATGGAATACCAAATGCTGTTGAAGTGGTTGCCAGAATGCAAATCACTGCTCTTTAGTATTCATCCCCCACCATGTCCACAAAAAAGTGGGGCAAAAGCATGTTAAGGGGTAACAATCTTCTCATTATTAGTAACGCACTATTCTGTCTTGTGTTTTGTACTACAGAAGTCTCAAAGGAGACGGGTGGGGGATGTTGATGCTCAAAGAACTGGGATTGTAAACGTGCATCTCCACAGCACTGTCAAGGAGCACAAGGTTGGGGAAATGGTGAGATGAGAAAGCAGTGCTAGCACATGGTCTTGCGGCAATTCCTCTCCTGTGCCCAGCTGTAGTCAGTTTCCTTTGGAACAGACCATGCGGCAACAAGATTCCTATGCTACAAAGGCTTTTTTTACCTCTTGGCTTTTCTCTCAGTCTCTGGTACAAGTCCTTTGCTTGTCCCTCTCTATAAAAGAAACAGGAAAGACAAATTTTCTCCAGCACTTGTGAGTGTAGAAGCAAGCCCACCCCACCCAACACCATGTTCAGACCAGCTGAGTGCTCAGCATGGTTCAAGACCTGCATGGCTTTGGGCAAAAATTGCTCTCTTAGCCTGTTACCCTTCTGTAAGAAGTGAGAATCCTAGGGACTTACACACATTACAATTTGGTAAAGCACTTTTAAGTTGCAATGGTAACTTCGAGCATAGCCCCTGCACAGCTTGCCCTTCTCTCCTGTAAATTCCATTTGGCTACAGTTCAATGCTCCACTTATTTAAATTATTTACAAAATAAAATTACTATAAAAATATCATTTAACAACAACTTACAAGAACAAACAGAATACTAACAACATAACTACATCAGCCTTTCTTTTGACATGATTTTCCTCAGTGCCCCTCCTGCCCCCTTTTCTAGTACTCCTCTCTTACTGACAATGGCACTCTTCAGTATGGAGAGGGAGGGGGAACAAGGAGCAACTCAAATTCTGTGCCATGTGATCTTGCAGCCTCTCAGTGGAGTAAGTGCTGTTCATCTGCCAGTTTAGATTTAATCTCAAGGATTAAATCCCAAGGATTAACAAAACCAGAAGATTCTTAATCTAAAATGCAAATTTCCTTAGCCAGCACAAGGTTCAGCTATACATTTCTTAGAATAGTGGAAAACCTATCCCTTAACATCGCCATTCCAGAAGGATGCTCTTTGACTGCTCCCCCTGCACATACGTAAACTAGAAAGACTAGACAAGAAGAAAGGTTCTGGCAGTCTTTCTTCATGATATGCTGTTGCTGGTTTTTTGGTGCATGGAGCTTTAACCCATCTGCAGCCTGAAATGGTAGAGTTCAGGTGAGACTCTGCTGAATGTATACAATGGCCTAGTGTCCGATATGGAGGGAGAGAGATTAGATTAGCCTCCCCGCCTGTTGCCTTCCAGATTTGGATGAGTTGCACCAGCCTTTTCAACCTGGCTATGTTGTGTGTTGGCGCGGATAACCTCCTCTGGGCCGCATGACAGCAGTAGGCGTGGATACCACCCGCATTTGTAGGGCACACACCCCCCCAAAAAAATCTGCTGATCCCTGCGGATCAGATGAGGAGGCGAAAGTGATGGCCCCTCCCAGCTCAACAAATGGCTGCTCTGATGGCTGTGGAAGGGGCAATTTGCCTCCCATAGTCATCAGGCTACTGGGGCCTGGGCAGGGCAGAGAGGTTTAAGCTGTGCCACCCACTCCAGCATGGTGTGTACCTTATTTTTTTTCTTTTCTGCCACCACCGACAAAATTGGTGGAGTCTTGATGGCCATAAACATTTGCTTGTGGGGCTGGATCAGACCTGGCTGGGTTGGCTAATAAGTGCAACCTAGAGAAAGGTAAGCACCAAAAAAACTAAAAATCAATTTTTTAAAATAGGTATATTTAAGTGC